ACTCAGCTCCCAATAGCAGAGTGATTCACACACACACACACACACACACACACGCACGCACACACACACACACACACAACACACACACACACACACACACACACACACACACACACACACACACACACACACACAATCAGTCTATTTCCGTGCGGCTCAGTCATGACTCATGTCATGGAGAGACAGAAAACAGATGAAAGTTTTCAGTTTCTGTGATTTATCATTGAGTAAAAATCTGTGATGAGACAACCCAGTCTCACAGTATTTCGTGTTATAGTCACGAAATTAATTTAATCTATTGATTCGTGTTTACCAACACGATTTCAATTTTTTTTCGTGTCACAGAGAACGATTTTAAAAGCAATGTATTTATAGTATGTGTCGTGCCTGCAACACGTCTTTTTGTCCGGTCGGGTCTTGGAAGACCGGAAGCTGTGTGGTTCATAAAAACATTTTCTGACTCAATGTCTTACCCTAAACCTAACCCTATCCCTTTTATTTTAAATTGTATAATATCAGAGTTTTTTTGCCGTCCGTGAGGAAAAGAGATGGAGCTCAGTGCCTCAGAATACTGACATCTGTATTTTTAAAATCTTTTTTTCCTTCTAATTTGTTATTATTTACACTGCTTTTAAAATCGTTCTGTGTGACACAAAAAAAATGGCGAAATCGTGTTGGTGAACACGATTCAATAGATTCATTTCGTGACTATAACACGAAATGCCGTGCGACTGTGTTGGATGTGATCAGTGAACAGAAACAGACCACACACACTTTCTTCAGATCACTGTTAGCCTTCACTAGTGTTAGCACGGTGATCACTGTTAGCCTTCCCTAGTGTTCGCACGGTGCCCACTGTTAGCCTTCACTAGTTTTCGCACGGTGCTCACTGTTAGCCTTCCCTAGTGTTAGCAAGGTGCTCACTGTTAGCCTTCACTAGTGTTAGCAAGGTGCTCACTGTTAGCCTTCACTAGTGTTAGCACGGTGCTCACTGTTAGCATTCCCTAGTGTTAGCATGGTGCTCACTGTTAGCCTTCACTAGTGTTAGCACGGTGCTCACTGTTAGCCTTCCCTAGTGTTAGCACGGTGCTCACTGTTAGCCTTCACTAGTGTTAGCACGGTGCTCACTGTTAGCCTTCCCTAGTGTTAGCAAGGTGCTCACTGTTAGCCTTCACTAGTGTTAGCACGGTGCTCACTGTTAGCCTTCCCTAGTGTTCGCACGGTGCCCACTGTTAGCCTTCACTAGTGTTAGCAAGGTGCTCACTGTTAGCCTTCCCTAGTGTTAGCAAGGTGCTCACTGTTAACCTTCACTAGTGTTAGCACGGTGCTCACTGTTAGCCATCCATCCATCTTCTCCCTTTTATCTGTGGTCGGGTCGTGGAGGTAGCAATTCCAGCAGAGAACCCCAATTGTCCCTTTCCTTTAGAGATATAATCCCTCCACCTGGTCCTATGTAGAGATATAATCCCTCCACCTGGTCCTGGGTAGAGATATAATCCCTCCCCCTGGTCCTATGTAGAGATATATTCCCTCCACCTGGTCCTATGTAGAGATATAATCCCTCCACCTGGTCCTATGTAGAGATATAATCCCTCCACCTGGTCCTGGGTAGAGATATAATCCCTCCACCTGGTCCTATGTAGAGATATAATCCCTCCACCTGGTCCTGGGTGGAGATATAATCCCTCCACCTGGTCCTATGTAGAGATATAATCCCTCCACGTGGTCCTGGGTAGAGATATAATCCCTCCACCTGGTCCTATGTAGAGATATAATCCCTCCACCTGGTCCTATGTAGAGATATAATCCCTCCACCTGGTCCTATGTAGAGATATAATCCCTCCACCTGGTCCTATGTAGAGATATAATCCCTCCACCTGGACCTAGGTAGAGATATAATCCTTCCACCTTGTCCTAGGTAGAGATTTAATCCCTCCACCTGGTCCCACCTGGTCCTGGGTAGATATATAATCCCTCCACTTGGTCCCGGGTAGAGATATAATCCCTCCACCTGGTCCTGGGTAGAGATATAATCCCTCCACCTGGTCCTATGTAGAGATATAATCCCTCCACCTGGTCCCACCTGGTCCTGGGTAGATATATAATCCCTCCACTTGGTCCCGGGTAGAGATATAATCCCTCCACCTGGTCCCGGGTAGAGATATAATCCCTCCACCTGGTCCCGGGTAGAGATATAATCCCTCCACCTGGTCCCACCTGGTCCTAGGTAGAGATATAATCCCTCCACCTGGTCCCGGGTAGAGATATAATCCCTCCATCTGGTCCCGGGTAAAGATATAATCCCTCCACCTGGTCCCGGGTAGAGATATAATCCCTCCACCTGGTCCCACCTGGTCCTAGGTAGAGATATAATCCCTCCACCTGGTCCCGGGTAGAGATATAATCCCTCCATCTGGTCCCGGGTAAAGATATAATCCCTCCACCTGGTCCCGGGTAGAGATATAATCCCTCCACCTGGTCCCACCTGGTCCTGGGTAGAGATATAATTCCTCCACCTGGTCCAGGGTAGAGATATAATCCCTCCACCTGGTCCTGGGTAGAGATATAATCGCTCCACCTGGTCCTAGGTAGAGATATAATCCCTCCACCTGGTCCTGGGTAGAGATATAATCGCTCCACCTGGTCCTAGGTAGAGATATAATCCCTCCACCTGGTCCTGGGTAGAGATATAATCGCTCCACCTGGTCCTAGGTAGAGATATAATCCCTCCACCTGGTCCTGGGTAGAGATATAATCGCTCCACCTGGTCCTAGGTAGAGATATAATCCCTCCACCTGGTCCGTCGGGACATGTTCTTTGGTGTCAGATTGGTGTGTAGGGGCCTTTAGCCGTAGAAGTAAAAACTGATGTTTGTGTTTCAGGCCCGATGACCTCTGTGACCTTCAGAGTCTGCCTCCCCCCGCTGAAGAGACACACCTGGCTCCCCACCCTGAAGAGACACACCTGCCCCCCCCCCCCAGCCACCCCTACAGAATGGCACCCCCCGCACACCTCAGCCCCTCAGCCAATCCCTTCAGGCCGCACCTCGAAGCCCCGCCCACAGCCCCAGCAAATCAGTGCCTGTGAACCAGAATATTACCCAGAGTTACTTCCGGTCCCCTCACAGAACAGGTCCAGCCTTACCGCATATTATTACCCACAATGCCTTTGACCTGCCGTCTGCTACAGCCCCCCCCTCCCCTCCACTAAGCCCCTCCCCCCCTGACCCCCCCTCCCCTCCACTAAGCCCCTCCCCCCTCTTAATCGGCCCGCCTCCTGTGATGTCATCAGCCCCCACACAGATGACCACGCCCCATTTGGCCATGAGCCCAATGCCTCCAGTGTTGACTCCGCCCCCTCCCGTGTTGACTCCGCCCCTTCCAGTGTTGACTCCGCCCCCTCCAGTGTTAGCCACGCTCCCTCCCGTGCAGCTGCTGGGCTCTGATGATGAGGAGCAGGAGGATCCGTCAGACTACTGCAAAGGTGAGCCCCATAATAAATACCTGAGGGGGGTTAGGGTATAAGGAGTGTGTGTAGATTAATACAGGGTCCGTACGGGTGCTTGAAATCCTTGAAAATGCTTGAAATTTGACGTGGTGTTTTCAAGGTTGGGAAAGTGCTTGAATTTTGGGAATGGAGCTTGAAATTGAGATAAAGTGCTTGAAAATGTAAATGCTTTACTTTTACAATAAATTGCTGTCTGACTGAATAGTTTGCTTTTTAGATTAAAAGAAAAGAATTGCTTCGCTTCTACATAAAACAGCTCCGCTGCGGCCTTCCCACTATGCGCGCGACCTGCAAGTGTTTGTGTTACGTGTGACCTGGGCATTCTGATGAGAGTGATAGATGACTGTGTGCCAGGAGGTTGCAGTTTCAACGAGCGTTGGCTAGCAGAAGACAAATACAAGCCATGGCTAAGACGAGGGTCAAGCCCACGAGTAGCCTCCTGCAAAGTTTGCAAAAATAACGATGCGAGAGTCTGCGCTGACGAGCCACATGAAAGGTACGCCGTAGAAGAGCATTTTAGATTAGGCTAACGTTGCATGTTACGTTTGTTTAAGCTAACGTTAGCGAGCTGAATAGCGAACTCCATGAGAGATAATAATAATTGGAGGGGACAATCATTTCAGAGGAGCGTTACAGTCGCCATCGTGTGGTGTTCAGAGGATGAAGCTCTCACGGCATTTCGTGTTGTAGTCACGAAATATAATCTATTGATTCGACACCGAGCGATTTTGAAAGAAATGTATTTCTACTGGTAGTATGTTTCGTGCCTAAACCAAATGTGACTTGCTCTATCGAAATCAGTCACATTGACCCGAAGACACATCTTCGTTTGTATTACTGGTCTGGGGGAAGCTCGCGAGTGTGTTTGTGTATTTTTGCGTTTGTGTACCGGGGAAACACTCACAAGAAACACCAGCTGTTGTTATACCTGCTGTGACGTTACATTAGTCCGTTCTCTGCTTGTAATTATGCCGAAGCTTCAAAGTTGTATTTATCATCTGAATTTGCCGAAACAAGTTTAATATTCTGAAAGCCAAGACTTTGTTTATTTGAAAACAGATGAAAACAAACTGTCTTTTATATCAAATTGAAGTATTATACAAGTAAAACTACATGTTGCTTTAATCCCATGTAATTGTAGAATGAACACAGTCTTCCTTTGTATAAATCAGGTGTCTTGAGTAGTCAAAATTACCTACAAATCATTGTACACATTTGTAAATATTATTTTCCACTTGTTACCATTGTGAGGCTATTATTATGCAGCTCTGCTTGATTTTGTGGCTACAATTCAGACTAATACACTACTAGAGGTGGAATAAGAACTCAGATATTGTACTTGAGTAAAAGTACAAGTACTCAGATCTTGTAGTGAAATTATAAGTATTCAGATATTGTACTTAGTAAAAGTAGAAGTACCAGTGTGTAGGAATACTCTGTCACAGTAAAAGTCCTGCATTCAAAATGTTCCTCAAGTGAAAGTAGAAAAGTATTCTCATCAAAATATAGTGAAAGTAGCGACAGTAAAAGTATTCGTTGTGCAGATTGGTCCATTTCAGAATAATATATATGATATGTTTTATAATGATTGATCATGAAAGTGTTCTCAGAGCTGGCTTCCGGTAACTGCTAGAATCCACTTCAAGACACTGGTACTTGCTTACCATGCTGCGAATGGATCTGGCCCTTCCTACATCCAGGACATGGTTAAACCGTACACCCCAGCGCGTGCACTCCGCTCTGCATCAGCCAAACGACTCGTTGCGCCCTCGCTGCGAGGGGGACCCAAGTTCCCATCGGTGAAAACACGTGGGTTTGCTGTCCTGGCTCCAAGATGGTGGAATGAGCTCCCCATTGACATCAGGACAGCAGATAGCTTGCACATCTTCCGGCGCAAACTGAAAACTCATCTCTTTCGACTCCACTTCGAGCGTTAGAACTATTAACAAAGCACTGATATACTAATAAAGGACTGGATTACCTAAAGCCAGTTGAGTAGCACTTGAAATGTTTGGCTCTATGAAACCTGATGTACTTATATGATTCTGTTTTCTTCAAGGTTGTGTCTTCCTGGTCGAATGTACTTATTGTAAGTCGCTTTGGATAAAAGCGTCAGCTAAATGCAATGTAATGTAAAGGTGCAGCTAGTTTGAATGACTTTGTATACTGCAGGGTAGCTTGTGGATTTACTCCAGGTGGAACTAAAGTCTGATTTAACACTTGATTAGATTTCACATTATTCATCCACATCTGTGAAGTAACTAAAGGGATTAAATACAAGTACACCTTTTACCTCTGATTTATGTTCACTGCCAACCTAAAACTACCTCAAAAATAGTAATCAATAATGTATGGAAAAGTTATTTGGCTGATTGTTTTATATCGGCTCAGCCAGGTTATATGGGAGGCCCAGTCTATGTACAGGTCACTCATTTTGAAATATTAAACTTAGTTTTATTTTCTTTAATTTGTCATCCTCGTGTAGAATGCTATCACGAAACACACATTTGGTTGTTTATAGCATAAAGAACTGATTTATGTGAGGTAGGGAAATAATCATTTGATTATGTGTATATAAATATGTAATTTACAACAGCTGTAAGATGCTTGAAAAGCTGGAAAATGCACCTTGAAAATGCTTGAAAAGTGCTTGAATTTGACTTTGGAAAAGGTGTAAGAACCCTGTTAATAACCTCCCCTCATAATAAATACCTGAGGGGGGTTAGGGTATAAGGAGTGTGTGTAGATTAATAACCCCCCCCACCCCCCCCGTGTTTAGGAGGGTACTACCCGGTGCAGATCGGAGATCTGTTCAATGGACGCTACCATGTGGTCCGGAAACTGGGCTGGGGACACTTCTCTACAGTGTGGCTGTGCTGGGATCTGCAGTACGACACACACACACACACACACACACACACACACACACACACACACACACACACACACACACACACACACACCCTGACTTTGTCTGTGTGCAGGAGGAAGCGCTTCGTGGCGCTGAAGGTGGTGAAGAGCGCTCCACATTACACAGAGACAGCTGTGGATGAGATCAAGCTCCTCAGATGTGTGAGTGACACACACACACACACACACACACACACACACACACACACACACACACACACACACACACACACACACACACACACACACACACACACACAACTGTAAACACACTAGGTCAGTACGGTTTGAACAGGCAGAGCTCCTCATCATAGCTCTTTGATAACGTTTAATTTACTTCCTCTTCACAATAAGAGTCTGTGTTACAGCCGCACCCTTTCACAATAAGAGTCTGGCAGCCCTTCATAATAAGAGTCTGTGTTACAGGTGAGGGACAGCGACCCCTCCGACCCTTTCAGAGAGACGATCGTTCAGCTGATCGACGACTTCAAGATCTCCGGAGTCAATGGAGTCCGTATCCTACACCTGTCTGTCTGCCTGTCTGTCTCTCTACCTAAGTGTCTGGTTGTCTGTCTCTCTACCTGAATGTCAGTCACCTGTTTTCCTCAGCTGACTCTCAGATGTGTGTATGGTTCTGGAGGTGTTGGGTCATCAGCTGTTGAAGTGGATCATTAAGTCAAACTACATGGGGATTCCTCTGGTGTGTGTGAAGAGCATCATCAGACAGGTAACACACACACACACACACACACACACACACACACACACACACACACACACACACACACACACACACACACACACACACACACACACACACACACACACACACACACACTCTCACACACATTCACCACCGCACTCACACACTCACACTCTCCCCCAGGTGCTGCAGGGGCTGGACTACCTGCACAGGAAGTGTAAGATCATCCACACGGACATCAAGCCGGAGAACATCCTGCTGCAGGTGGACGAGCTGTATGTGAGACGCCTAGCTGCTGAAGCTACACACTGGCAGAGAGCCGGAGCCCCGCCCCCCTCAGGGTCCTCAGGTGATTGGTCAGGAGAGAGAGAGAGACAGACAGGTTAGCTGCTGAAGCTACACACTGGCAGAGAGCTGGAGCCCCACCCCCTTCAGGGTCCTCAGGTGATTGGTCAGGAGAGAGAGAGAGACAGACATGTTAGCTGCTGAAGCTACACACTGGCAGAGACCCGGAGCCCCGCCCCCTTCAGGGTCCTCAGGTGATTGGTCAGGAGAGAGAGAGAGAGAGACAGACACTTGTCACTGATTGGCTCCTACCAAAAATCAAAAACAGAGTATTGTGAATATTAATGAGCCGTCTCTCTGTTTGAAAATAAGATGCAGGGCTAATTTCTACCTGTCTATCTGCCTGTTTCTCTGTCTATCTACCTGTCTATCTGCCTGTCTATCCGACTGTCTATTACATTACATTTAGCTGACGCTTTTATCTAAAGCGACTTACAATAAGTACATTCGACCAGGAAGACACAACCTTGAAGAAAACAGAATCATATAAGTACATCAGGTTTCATAGAGCCAAACATTTCAAGTGCTACTCAACTGGCTTTAGGTAATCCAGTCCTTTATTAGTATAAAAGTGCTTCGTTAATAGTTCTATCGCTGGAAGTGGAGTCGAAAGAGATGAGTTTTCAGGCTGGAAGGTGTGTAAGCTTTCTGCCGTCCTGATGTCAATGGGGAGCTCATTCCACCATCCTGGAGCCAGGACAGCAAACCCACGTGTTTTTGCTGATGGGAACTTGGGTCCCCCTCGCAGCGAGGGTGCAGCGAGTCGTTTGGCTGATGCAGAGCGTAGTGCACGCTGGGGTGTACGGTTTAACCATGTCCTGGATGTAGGAAGGGCCAGATCCATTCACAGCATGGTACGCAAGTACCAGTGTCTTGAAGTGGATTCTAGCAGTTACCGGAAGCCAGTGAAGGGAGCGGAGGAGCGGAGTGGTGTGGGAACATTTAGGAAGGTTGAAGACCAGACGAGCCGCTGCATTCTGGATGAGCTGCAGAGGTCGGATGGCACATGCAGGTAGACCAGCCAGCAGGGAGTTGCAGTAGTCTAGGCGTGAGATGACGAGAGCCTGGACCAGAACCTGAGTCGCTTTCTGAGTCAGCTGGGGACGTATCCTCCTGATGTTGTAAAGCGTGTATCTGCAGCAGCGGGTTGTAGCAGCGATGTTTGCAGTGAAGGACAGGTTGTTATCTAGGGTCACACCCAGATTCCTTGCAGTCTGAGTCGGGGAAACAACTGAGGTGCCGATGTTGATTGTTAGGTCAAGAGTGGGACAATCTTTTCCCGGAAGGAAAAGCAGCTCAGTCTTGTCAAGGTTGAGCTTGAGGTGGTGAGCAGACATCCACTGAGAGATGTCAGCTAGACAAGCAGAGATGCGTGCAACGACCTGGGTCTCTGAGCGGGGAAAGGACAGAATTAATTGGGTGTCGTCAGCGTAGCAGTGGTATGAAAAACCATGCGGGCTAATGACTGATCCGAGCGAGTTTGTGTACAGGGAGAAGAGGAGGGGACCAAGAACAGAGCCCTGAGGGACCCCTGTAGTTAATTGACAAGGGTCGGACTCGGACCCTCTCCAAGTCACCCTGTAGGTACGGTCTTTCAGGTATGAGGTGAGGAGGGAAAGTGCAGAGCCTGAAACTCCAAGTTTTTGGAGAGTGCGAAGGAGGATCTGATGATTCACCGTGTCGAATGCAGCAGACAGGTCCAACAGGATGATGACAGAGGAGAGGGATGCAGTTTTGGCAGTGTGCAGTTCCTCCGTGACAGCAATGAGAGCAGTTTCTGTGGAGTGACCTGCCTTGAAACCAGACTGGTGCGGATCCAGAAGGTTGTTCTGATTGAGATAACAGGAGAGTTGTTTAAAGACAGCGCGTTCAAGTGATTTAGACAGGAACGGGAGGAGAGAGACAGGCCTGTAGTTTATAACATCAGACGGGTTGAGAGTGGGTTTCTTTAGGAGAGGGTTTACTTTTGCCTCCTTGAGACTGTTTGGAAAGTGACCAGAAGTTAGAGAAGTGTTGATGAAATGGGTGAGAAACGGTAGAATATCAGGAGCGATAGTCGGAAGGAGGTTTGAAGGGATAGGGTCCAGAGGACAGGTGGTAGGGCGGGCAGAGGTAATGAGGGGAATAACCTCAATTGGAGAGAGAGGGGGAAAGGAGGTTAGTGTGTTGGGTGAAGGAGGGTCTGGTGACCCAGCAGTGAGTAGAGGTGAGTCAGAAAAAGAAGAGCGAATATCATCAACCTTTTTTTCAAAGTGGTTAACAAAGTCGCTTGACAGAAGGGAGGAGGGGGAAGGGGCTTTGGGAGGGTCCAAGAGGGTGGAGAAGATGGAAAATAGTTTTTTGGGATTGGAATAGGAAGATTGGATCTTATCTTGAAAGAAAGTGCTTTTTGCCTGAGAGATCGAAGCAGAGAAAGAGGAGAGGAGAGCCTGATAGGTTAGGAGGTCGTCACGGTGTTTGGATTTCCACTGTTTCCGCTCTGCTGCCCGAATGACGGTTCTATTAGCACGCAGTGCGTCATTTAGCCAGGGAGCAGGAGGGGACTGACGAGCCTGCCGAGATGTGAGAGGACAGAGAGAGTCCAGAGAGGATGAGAGAGTAGAGAGGAGAGTTTCTGCAGCAGAGTTTGGAGGCAGGAGTTGGAACGAGTCAGAGGAAGGGAGAGCTGAGAGCACCGATGAGGCAAAGGTAGAGGGGGAGAGGGAGCGAAGGTTACGGCGGACAAGTGCAGGATGGGAAGAGATTAGTTTGTTTTGTTTGGAAAGGGGTAGAGAGAATGAAATGAAGAAGTGATCGGATGTGTGGAGCGGGTTTACAGAGAGGTTAGAAGTAGCGCAGTTCCTTGAGAATATGAGATCAAGGACATTGCCAGCTTTATGAGTTGGTGGGGAAGGAGACAGTGAGAAAGCAAAGGCGGTTAACAGAGATGTTAGTTCGTCTATCTTCCCCGTCTGGAGGTTGAAGTCTCCGAGAAGTACAGCGGGAGGACCAGTTTCAGGGATGTGTGAGAGGAGATGATCTAATTCCTCCAAGAAGTCCCCCAAGGCGCCTGGTGGACGGTAGAGAACAACAATGGTTAACTGTATAGGATGGGTTACTGTGACGGCATGGAATTCAAAGGTGGAAGGAGTGAAGTTAGGTAGCTTGAAGAGGGAAAAGCTCCATTTGGGAGAGAGCAGGAGACCAGTGCCACCTCCTCTGCCAGTTGGGTCTGGGTGTATGGGAGAAGGAATATGCATGTGGAGAGAGCTGCTGGGGTGGATGTGTTGGATGGAGTAATCCAGGTCTCAGTGAGAGCAAGGAAATCCAGAGACTGCAGGGAGGCGTAGCCAGAGATGAAGTCAGCCTTAGGAACAGCTGACTGGCAGTTCCACAGGCCACCTGAAACTAGATGTAGGATCTCAGTGGAGCATGTGGGATAGACGAGAGCAGGCCGGTTATAGCGTTTAGGAGATACACGGGGCCAGTGATAATTGCGAGAAGACACATGAACAGGAATGGAGAAAATACACATGATTATAGCCTGAGGGGCTAGAAAACTAAATAAAATAAAATAAAACACCAGCGGTAATTAGCTCAATCAGAGTAGGATTTGCCTCCTCTTTGCCACCCTCGTGACTCCCGCCGGACTCCAATGTCTTTGTCAGTCTTACTCCCGCAGGACTCTAATGTCTTTGTCTGTCTGACGCTGAAGCTGACGCTCCAGGAAAGAGCTACCTAAAATGGACGCCTGATTGCTGAGTTCTCACAGCTGTGGGGCCACGCCCCTCTGATTAGTTAACTCTCTACAGCTGAAGGGCGACAGCAGAGTGGCCCTGCCTATATTGTAATGCAGGCTTGAGTGCCCACTGCGACCTGTGTAACAGGTTCCCTTGAGCAGATCTGAGATTTAAAATCTCTCAAAAGCGCTGTTTTAGCTACAATAACTACAGAACAATTATACAGAGTAGAATAAAGGAAACAGAGAAGTCTAATTAAACAAGAATATAACTTAAAGTGGTTGCTGCGTCAATAGGTATTGTCGTCACCCGGTCTAGATGCACACTGTCTATCTGCCTTTCTATCTACCTGTCTATCTACCTGTCTATCTGCCTGTCTATCTACCTGTCTATCTACCGGTCTATCTGCCTGTCTATCTACCTTTCTATCTGTCTGTCTATCTACCTGTCTGTCTATCTACCTGTCTATCTACCTGTCTATCTGCCTGTCTATCCGACTGTCTATCTACCTGTCTATCCGACTGTCTTTCTATCTATCTACCTGTCTATCTACCTGTATATCTACCTGTCTGTGTATCTACCTGTATATCTACCTGTCTGTATATCTACCTGTCTGTGTATCTACCTGTATATCTGCCTGTCTATCTACCTGTCTGTCTATCTACCTGTCTATCTGTCTGTCTATCTACCTGTATATCTACCTGTCTATCTGTCTGTCTATCTACCTACCTGTCTATCTGTCTGTCTATCTACCTGTCTGTCTATCGACCTGTCTATCTGTCTGTCTATCTACTTGTCTATCTGTCTGTCTATCTACCTGTCTGTCTATCTACCTGTCTGTCTATCTACCTGTCTATCTGTTTGTCTATCTACTTGTCTATCTGTCTGTCTATCTACTTGTCTATCTGTCTGTCTATCTACCTGTCTATCTGTCTGTCTATCTACCTGTCTGTCTATCCACCTGTCTATCTGTCTGTCTATCTACCTGTCTGTCTATCTACCTGTCTGTCTATCTGTCTGTCTATCTACCTGTCTGTCTATCTGTCTGTCAGTTCCTAAGCTGTCTCCTTCTCCTCTACGCTCCTTCTACACAGGGCTCACCTGTCTGCCTGTCTTTCACCTGTCTTTCACTCTCTTCCTCCTTTTTTTCCAGTTTCTCATGTGATCTTCCTGTCTCTCTCTCCCTGTCTATCTGCCTCCACCTGTCTCTATCTCTAGTTAGCATGGCTCCTAGGGACGACCAGGTAAGAGTCAGGTGTGTGTGTTTGTGTGAATGAGAGTGTGTGTGTGTGTGAATGAGAGAGTGTGTGTGAATGAGAGTGTGTGACTGTGTGTGTATATGAGAGTGTGTGTGTGTGTGTGTGTGCCCCTGGCCAACATGTGGCCCCACGCAAAGTTATATGATGAGGCCCTCTGTGTCGTGAGCGTCGACGGGGGGGGGTGAGCAAGTGGAGCCTCGAAGCGGCGAAACTGTGCTGCGCCTACACTAATTGCGCCGCATAGTTACGCCACATTTGCGGCTCAGTTGAGGCCCCCTCCGCGAGATGAGGCCCCCTCCGCGAGGTGAGGCCCCCCCTGCGAGGTGAGGCCCCCCCCCCTGCGAGGTGAGGCCCCCCCCCCCCGCAGCGAGGTGAGGCCCCCCCGCAGTCTGCGGGATCTGCCTGTAGGGAGGGGCGGCCCTGCGTGTGAGTGTGTGCACCATGTGATAAAGACTGAGTGTAAATGAGACACTAACTACACAGCTGTCTGTCTGCATGCCTGTCTCTCATGCTGTGTGTGTGTGTGTGTGTGTGTGTGTGTGTGTGTGTGTGTGTGTGTGTGTGTGTGTGTGTGTGTGTGTGTGTGTGTGTGTGTGTGTGTGTGTGTGTGTGTGTGTGTGTGTGTGTGTGTGTGTGTGTGTGTGTGTGTGTGTGTGTGTGTGTGTGTGTGTGGTGTGTGTGTGTGTGTGGTGTGTGTGTGTTGTGTGTGTGTGTGTGTGTGTGATGTGTGTGTGTGTGTGTGTGTGTGTGTGTGTGTGTGTGTGTGTGTGTGTGTGTGTGTGTGTGTGTGTGTGTGTGTGGTGTGTGTGGTGTGTGTGTGTGTGTGTGTGTGTGTGTGTGTGTGTGTGTGTGTGTGTGTGTGTGTGTGTGTGTGTGTGGGATGGTAGGCTGTCTAAGAACAAGAAGAAGAAGTTGAAGAGGAAAGCAAAGCGTGAACACAGACTGCTGGAGGAGAGACTGCACAACATACAGGTAATACTACTATTCTACTGTAATAATACTATTCTACTGTAATACTACTATTCTACTGTTATACTACTGTAATACTACTATTCTACTGTAATACTACTATTCTACTGTAATACTACTATTCTACTGTAATACTACTATTCTACTGTTATACTACTGTAATACTACTATTCTACTGTAATACTACTGTAATTCTACTGTTATACTACTGTAATACTACTATTCTACTGTTATACTACTGTAATACTACTATTCTACTGTAATACTACTATTCTACTGTTATACTACTGTAATACTACTATTCTACTGTTATACTACTGTAATACTACTATTCTACTGTTATACTACTGTAATACTACTATTCTACTATTCTACTGTAATACTACTATTCTACTGTAATACTACTATTCTACTGTTATACTACTGTAATACTACTATTCTACTATTCTACTGTAATACTACTATTCTACTGTAATACTACTATTCTACTGTTATACTACTGTAATACTACTATTCTACTACTATTCTACTGTTATACTACTGTAATACTACTATTCTACTGTTATACTACTGTAATACTACTATTCTACTACTATTCTACTGTTATACTACTGTAATACTACTATTCTACTGTAATACTACTGTAATACTACTACTACTACTGTTATACTACTGTAATACTACTACTACTACTGTAATACTACTACTACTACTGTAATACTACTACTACTACTGTTATACTACTGTAATACTACTAGTACTGTAATACTACTATACTACTGTAATACTACTGGTCCGGCAGTGTCTCAGTCAGTAGGGACTGTGAGCCGTAGGGTCGCCGGTTCAAGTCCCCGAACAGACCTAAACATGGAGTATGTTTGTGTGTGTGTGTTTGTGTGTGTCCAGAGGATGGAGGAAGAGGACAGTGTGTTACAACCTGACCACGCACACACTAACTGTGAGTACGCACTGATACACACATGTAATACACACACACACACAACGTATACACTCTCTGAAAACGTCTGCTTTGCTCTCAGGCTTACCTGTCGTCAACGGCAACACTTCCTGCTCCATAGCCAATAACAAGGCGAGCCCGGAAAGCAGCTGCTCCTGGTTGGACGACAGGATGAATGACCACGCCCCCTGCCGGTTCTCTAGCCCCGCCTCCGGCCAATCAGGCTTCTCCAGCTCTGTGATGTCAGCGACGTCCGGGTCAGCAATCTCCTCCCAGTCGGGGTACTCCAGTGGGAGAGACGGTACTTATACTACTAGGAAGTACAAATACACAAATATTCATACACCACTATTTATATTACTGCAGTACAAAAACACATATAACAACACACACACTATTTATATTACTGCAGTACAAAAACACATATAACAACACGCACACTATTTATATTACTGCAGTACAAAAATACATATAACAACACACACACTATTTATATTACTGCAGTACAAAAACACATATAACACACACACTATTTATATCACTGCAGTACAAATATACATAGCTCTCATACTTTATATATATATTTATATATATATACCTGTCATACTTTATATATATATATATATCTGTCTAATATGTATTTCTCTCAGTCTCCAGCGCCTCAGACTTCCTGCTCAGTCCTCTGGATCCTCTCAATGCTCACAGCCTGAGAGTGAAGATCGCTGATCTGGGAAATGCATGCTGGGTAGTGAGTATCAGCCAATCACAGGCCTCTCTGTCAGTATCAGCCGATCACCGGCCTCTCTGTCAGTATCAGCCAATCACAGGCCTCTCTGTCAGTATCAGCCAATCACAGGCCTCTCTGTCAGTAACAGCCAATCACAGGTATCTCTGTGTTTCCAGCACAAACACTTCACAGAGGATATTCAGACCCGTCAGTACCGAGCTCTGGAGGTTCTGATTGGAGCAGAATACGGACCTCCAGCTGACATCTGGAGCATCGCCTGCATGGTAACACACACACACACACACACACACACACACACACACACACACACACACACACACACACACACACACACACACACACACACACACACACACACACACACTCTCTCTTAATGTATGTATGTTTTTCTGTATAAATGTATTTGTTGTGTTCAGGCGTTCGAGCTGGCGACCGGAGATTACATGTTTGAGCCACATTCAGGAGAGGATTACACCCGAGACGAAGGTACACAATACTGCATAAAGTACACACTATATTTCTTTAAATACACACTATACTGTATAAAGTACACACTATACTTCTTTAAAGTACACACTATACTGCTTTAAAGTACACACAATATTCCATTACATTGCATTTAGCTGAGGCTTTTATCCAAAGCGACTCACAATAAGTGCGTTCGACCAGGAAGACACAACCTTGAAGAAAACAGAATCATAAAGTGCCTCAGGTTTCATAGAGCCAAACATTTCAAGTGCTACTCAACTGGCTTTAGGTAAGCCAGTCCTTTATTAGTATATAAGTGCTTTGTTAATAGTTCTATCGCTGGAAGTGGAGTCGAAAGAGATGAGTTTTCAGTATGGAAGGTGTGTAAGCTTTCTGCTGTCCTGATGTCAATGGGAGCTCATTCCACCATCTTGGAGCCAGGACAGCAAACCCACGTGTTTCTGCTGATGGGAACTTGGGTCCCCCTCGCAGCGAGGGTGCAGCGAGCTGTTTGGCTGATGCAGAGCGGAGTGCACGTGCTGGGGTGTACGGTTTAACCATGTCCTGGATGTAGGAAGGGCCAGATCCATTCGCAGCATGGTAAGCAAGTACCAGTGTCTTGAAGTGGATTCTAGCAGTTACTGGAAGCCAGTGAAGGGAGCGGAGGAGCGGAGTGGTGTGGGAACATTTAGGAAGGTTGAAGACCAGACGAGCCACTGCATTCTGGATGAGCTGCAGAGGTCGGATGGCACATGCAGGTAGACCAGCCAGGAGGGAGTTGCAGTAGTCTAGGCGTGAGATGACGAGAGCCTGGACCAGAACCTGCGTCGCTTTCTGGGTCAGCTGGGGACGTATCTTCCTGATGTTGTAAAGCGTGTATCTGCAGCAACGGGTTGTAGCAGCTATGTTTGCAGTGAAGGACAGGTTGTTATCTAGGGTCACACCCAGATTCCTTGCAGTCTGAGTCGGGGAAACAACAGAGGTGCCGATGTTGATTGTTAGGTCAAGAGTGGGACAATCTTTTCCCGGAAAGGTTGAGCTACATTCATGTACACAGTATTCATTATATTATGCACTGTTTCTACTTTCTGTGTATTTACATTACTTTATTCAGAGTGTGTATTCAGAGATGGAGTCGGACTCCGATTTTGATGGAGAGAGGTCCTGATCCTGATGGAGGGAGGTCCTGATGGAGAGAGGTTCTGGTTCTGATGGAGGGAGGTCCTGATGGAGAGAGGTTCTGGTCCTGATGGAGAGAGGTTCTGGTCCTGATGGAGAGAGGTCCTGATGGAGAGAGGTTCTGGTTCTGATTGAGGGAGGTTCTGGTTCTGATGGAGAGAGGTTCTGGTCCTGATGGAGAGAGGTTCTGGTCCTGATGGAGAGAGGTTCTGGTTCTGATGGAGAGAGGTTCTGGTTCTGATGGAGAGAGGTTCTGGTTCTGACGGAGAGAGGTTCTGGTTCTGATGGAGAGAGGTCCTGATGGAGAGAGGTTTTGGTCCTGATGGAGAGAGGTTCTGGTTCTGATGGAGAGAGGTTCTGGTTCTGATGGAGAGAGGTCCTGATGGAGAGAGGTTTTGGTCCTGATGGAGCGAGGTTCTGGTTCTGATGGAGAGAGGTTCTGGTCCTGATGGAGAGAGGTCCTGATGGAGAGAGGTTCTGGTTCTGATGGAGAGAGGTTCTGGTTCTGATGGAGAGAGGTTCTGGTTCTGATGGAGAGAGGTCCTGATGGAGAGAGGTTCTGGTCCTGATGGAGAGAGGTTCTGATGGAGAGAGGTCCTGATGGAGAAAGGTTCTGATGGAGAGAGATTCTGGTTCTGATGGAGAGAGGTTCTGGTCCTGATGGAGGGAGGTCCTGATGGAGAGAGGTTCTGGTTCTGATGGAGGGAGGTCCTGATGGAGAGAGGTTCTGGTTCTGATGGAGAGAGGTCCTGATGGAGAGATGTTCTGGATCTGATGGAGAGATGTTCTGGTTCTGATGGAGAGAGGTCCTGATGGAGAGAGGTTCTGGTTCTGATGGAGAGAGATTCTGGTCCTGATGGAGAGAGGTCCTGATGGAGAGAGGTTCTGGTCCTGATGGAGAGAGGTTCTGGTCCTGATGGAGAGAGGTCCTGATGGATAGAGGTTCTGGTTCTGATGGATAGAGGTTCTGGTCCTGATGGAGAGAGGTTCTGGTCCTGATGGAGAGAGGTGTTGGTCTTGATGAAGAGAGGTTCTGGTCCTGATGGAGAGAGGTTCTGGTTCTGATGGAGAGAGGTTCTGGTCAGGAAATAGTCTGCTCATCCCCTTCGTGTACACAGCGTCAGTGTTGATCCTCCAGTTCAGTTCATTATCTAAGTGCACTCCCAAGCACTTGTAGTACTCCACAACAGCCACATCCTCTCCCAGAATGCACAGGAGCTGAGGCGTGTGCACTTAGTGACGTGTGCAGCTGGAGCTGGAGGCGTGGTGGTGTGTGCACCTGGTGGCGTGTGCAGCTGGAGGATGTGGAGGCGTGTGCACCTGAAGCTGGAGACGTGTGCACCTGGTGGCGTGTGCAGCTGGAGGATGTGGAGACGTGTGCACCTGAAGCTGGAGGCGTGTGCACCTGGAGCTGGTGGCGTGTGCACCTGGAGCTGGTGGCGTGTGCACCTGGTGGCGTGTGCACCTGGTGGCGTGTGCACCTGGTGGCGTGTGCACCTGGTGGCGTGTGCACCTGGTGGCGTGTGCACCTGGTGGCGTGTGCACCTGGTGGCGTGTGCACCTGGTGGCGTGTGCACCTGGTGGCGTGTGCACCTGGTGGCGTGTGCACCTGGAGCTGGAGGTGTGTGCACCTGGTGGCGTGTGCACCTGGTGGCGTGTGCAGCTGGAGGATGTGGAGACGTGTGCACCTGAAGCTGGAGGCGTGTGCACCTGGTGGCGTGTGCAGCTAGAGGATGTGGAGACGTGTGCACCTGAAGCTGGAGGCGTGTGCACCTGGTGGCGTGTGCACCTGGAGCTGGTGGCGTGTGCACCTGGTGGCGTGTGCACCTGGTGGCGTGTGCACCTGGTGGCGTGTGCACCTGGTGGCGTGTGCACCTGGTGGCGTGTGCACCTGGAGGCGTATGCACCTGGAGCTGGAGGCGTGTGCACCTGGTGGTGTATGCGTGGCACCTGGAGCTGGAGGCGTGGCACCTGGAGGCGTGGCACCTGGAGCTGGAGGCGTGGCACCTGGAGGCGTGTGCACCTGGTGGCGTGTGCACCTGGTGGCGTATGCACCTGGAGCTGGAGGCGTGGCACCTGGAGCTGGAGGCGTGGCACCTGGAGGCGTGGCACCTGGAGCTGGAGGCGTGGCACCTGGAGGCGGAGGCGTGGCACCTGGAGCTGGTGGCGTGTGCACCTGGTGGCGTGTGCACCTGGTGGCGTGTGCACCTGGTGGCGTGTGCACCTGGTGGCGTGTGCACCTGGTGGCGTGTGCACCTGGTGGCGTGTGCACCTGGTGGCGTGTGCACCTGGTGGCGTGTGCACCTGGTGGCGTGTGCACCTGGTGGCGTGTGCACCTGGTGGCGTGTGCACCTGGAGCTGGAGGCGTGGTACCTGGAGCTGGAGGCGTGTGCACCGGGAGCTGGAGGCGTGGCACCTGGAGGCGTGTGCATATCACATCCCTCACATCATAAAGCTGCTCAGTGAGTAGTAGCAGTAGTAGCAGTAGTAGTAGTTGATATGGAAAACTTCTTTGCAGCAATGTTGAGCCAATGTTCTTGAAATGAGGGAAACTGGATTCGCCTTAGACAATACACTGATATTTATTGAGAGACAAAACGGCCGGAGGATCAACAAAGCAACTCGCACTGTTTAATGCAAGCTGCCAAATTAACTCTGCCCACACAAAGACGGAACCGCTCGAACCTGGTCTCTGAGAAGGGGCGGAGCCTAGAAACGCGGGCCTTTACCCCAATTGATTCCAGATGAACAAACAAAGATGCTCTGTCTCGTAAAGGCATCGGGCAGTAAACCCTTCCCCCACACAGGAAAAGAGTAGTCACTCATGTAAAGTTTCTCAGGACAGCTAAGAACACAAAGACATCAGACTAAAATATTCCTTTACAGTAGCAGTAGTAGTAGTAGTAGCAGTAGTGGTAGTAGCAGTAGTAGCAGTAGCAGTAGCAGTAGTAGTAGCAGTAGTAGTAGTAGTAGTAGAACCTTTATTTATCCAGGAAAATCAATTAAGAACAAATTCTTATTTACAATGATGACCTGGCAGGAGGCACAGGCTTCCTGAGGAGATGGGGTTTGGGAGGAAAACAAATACAAAGACAGACTCCGGGCACTGCAGAACCCAGGAGACAACACAAACACATAGAGCAAAGAAGACAGGCATAGCAGTTAAACATATAACAACTCTAAAACAATACTGCTGTGGTTCAATCAGTCATTCAAATCAGCATCAGGCAAAGCAGCTGCATGTCCCTACAGCTACCAGGGTGTCTATAATAGTGACATTGAAGGTGCGGGGGGAGACAAAGGTTTTCATTTTCAACGTTTTTGAATGACATTCCAGCTATCAGCTGCTGCAACCTGAAAGGCGGAGCGGCCAAAGGATGTATGGGCTTTGGGGATCTTTAGCAGGATGCTTGTAGCTGACCGGGTGTTGTGCGTCGGGGGTGTGCGGAGTTGCAGTAATTGTGTGAGGTAGAAGGGGGTGAGGCCTAGGAGTGTTTTGTAAACAAACATCAGCCAGTGGATGTTGCGTCTGGTCTCAAGAGAGGGCCAGTTAGCCAGAGAGTACAGGTCACAGTGGAGTGTCCTGTAGGGGGCGTTGGTGGCGAAGCGGATGGCGGAGTGATACAGAAAGTCTAAATGATCGAGAGCTCCTTTACACGCCGAGCGGTAGATGGTATCGCCGTAGTCGAACAGAGGAAGGACAGTCATCTGGACCGGAGGAAGGACAGTCATCTGGACCGGAGGAAGGACAGTCATCTTGACCGGAGGAAGGACAGTCATCTTGACCGAAGGAAGGACAGTCATCTGGACCGGAGGAAGGACAGTCATCTGGACCGGAGGAAGGACAGTCATCTGGACCAGAGGAAGGACAGTCATCTGGACCAGAGGAAGGACAGTCATCTGGACCAGAGGAAGGACAGTCATCTGGAACAGAGGAAGGACAGTCATCTGGACCAGAGAAAGTTTAGCAGATGAAGTGAATGAGGAGCGATTCCTTTACAGAAAGCTGAGTCTAACTTTAACCTTGGTCTGAATTTTGGAGAGATGTTCTGAGAATGACAGATTACTGTCAATCCAAAATCCAAGGTATTTATAAGATTGAACTATTTCGAGGTCCCGGCCATCGGCGGTCACAAGAGTGCCAGTTTGGGAGGCACCACTGCGGCCAAACCACATGATCTTGGTTTTAGTGGTGTTCAGGACCAGGCCGAGGGCAGAGAGATGGGACTCTCTGAAAACTATCCTGAAGAGTTTTCAGGACAGCATCCGGGGAAGGGCCAGCAGTGTACAGAATTGTGTCATCAGCATATAGGTGGATAGAGGAGTTGCCCACTGATTTCTCCATGTCATTTATATATATTGAGAATAAGATGGGTGCTAGGATAGAGCCTTGTGGTACTCCCTTAGAGATGGATAGGGGCTGTGTCATCAGATTTTCAGATTTTACACACTGGGTGCGCATGGACAGGTAGTTTTCAAACCAGGCTATCGATTGGTTAGTGACACCAATGCATCTAAGCTTTCCCAGAAGCGTATTCAGAGTGTATCTGTGTGTACTCACAGTGTGTATTGTGTGTACTCACAGTGTGTATTGTGTGTACTCACAGTGTGTGTACTTGTACTCAGATCACATCGCTCACATCATAGAGCTGCTCGGAGCGATCCCTCTTCCCTTCGCTCTGTCTGGCAGGTACTCCAGAGAGTACTTTGATAGGAGAGGTGAGACATATACACATTTATAATACGTATTGTAATAAAGCATTTGAACATTCCTTTGTGTCACATGTTCATTATCAGCTGATGTGTAACTGCATAGTATCTTTACTATTTAAAATATAAGGTGACTAAAAATGGCAACCGTATTTTCAGTTTTGGCAACCTAAAGCTGATGTCTGGTTGCCTGGCAACCACTTTTAAAAGTTGAGCCCTGCAGATGTTGTATTGATCACAGATGTTGTATTGATCACAGATGTTATCTTTCAGGCTGTCTGAGGCACATCTCCTCTCTGAAGCCCTGGGGTTTGTTCGAGGTTCTTCTGGAGAAGTACGAGTGGCCTCTGGAGCAGGCGGCGCACTTCAGTGACTTTCTGAACTCCATGTTGGTTCTTCAGCCGGAGAAACGAGCCACAGCAGAGCAGTGTCTGCAGCACGACTGGCTACACACACACTGACACACACACACACACACACACACACACACACACACACACACACACACACACACACACACACACACACTGACAAACACACACACTGACACACACACTTTCTTCTCTTTGGTGTTTCCTGAGTGTGTGTTTGCCCATTTTGTTTCCCGCTCTTTTTAACCTCAGTGATGAACACACTGTAGCCTCAGATCACCTTTGACCTCTCACCTGTTTGTACCCTCACATAAATAGTGCCTTGAAATACCGCCCACGTCCACTGACATCACAGTGACATCACCGTGACATCACTGTGACATCACCGTGACATCACCGTGACACTACTGTGACATCACCCTGACATCACCGTGACATCACCGTCACATCACCCTGACATCACCGTCACATCACCCTGACATTACCGTGACATCACCCTGATGTCACGGTGATGTGACGGTGATGTCACCGTGACATTACCGTGACATCACCCTGACATTACCGTGACATCACCGTGACATTACCGTCACATCACCCTGACATCACCGTCACATCACCCTGACATTACCGTGACATCACCGTGACATCACCGTCACAACACCGTGACATTACCGTGACATCACCCTGACATCACCCTGACATCACCGTGACATCACCGTGACATCACCGTGACATTACCGTGACATTACCGTGACATTACCGTGACATTACCGTGACATTACCGTGACATCACCCTGACATTACCGTGACGTCACCGTGACGTCACCGTGACATCACCGTGACGTCACCCTGACGTTACCGTGACGTCACCGTGACATCACCCTGACATCACCGTGACATCACCGTGACATCACCGTGACGTCACCCTGACGTTACCGTGACGTCACCGTGACATCACCCTGACATCACCGTGACATCACCCTGACATTACCGTGACATCACCCTGACATTACCGTGACATCACCGTGACATCACCGTGACATCACCCTGACATTACCGTGACATCACCCTGACATTACCGTGACATTACCGTGACATCACCGTGACATTACTGTGACATCACCCTGTCATCACCCTGACATTACCGTGACATCACCGTGACATTACCGTGACATTACCGTGACATCACCGTGACATCACCCTGACATTACTGTGACATCACTGTGACATCACCGTGACACTACTGTGACGACAGTTTTCTACGTTTGTGTGTGTGCTGAGTTTCTTCTTCTGTGGAAATAAAGATGACTGACAGCTCGACTCTGTTTATATCTGAACATCTCTCTTTTTTTAAAAACAATATCTTTATTGAGTTTTTACTTTTTTACAGGCACAAAAAATGGCATCCACAAATACAGATATTAACAATGAGTGAATAACACATGTACAAATGAGTTGGCCATCCATGCATAATATACAACATTTTATTCACTAATACGTAACCAACCAAATAGCAAAAACAAATACACACCAGGTGACAAGACCAGAACAAATTCAATTAAATAACTGACAAGTAAATAAATATTTATAATTATCAAATACATTTAATCTGTTAAGCCCCGAACCTGTTTTCCAGGTCTCAGGTTCGAAAATTACATTTCCAGAACAAATGACCATATCTTCTAAAAGGGTTAAATTAATAATCTTTTTTCTCAAAGTAATGATAAACCTGTGAGTTGGATGTACAAGAGTCAGAATCAATATAGATGTCTTTATTTTAAAGTAAATTCAGATTGAACATAGTAAGATAATTAAAATTATAGTGTAGTATCTGTCCAAAAATAACCCATTCCTTATAGTGAAAACCACCTTGAATGATGGGATGGGAGACTAAAAGCTTTAGGAATCCAAACTACAACATATACTAAGTACCCTGTATCAAGATTGATGCAAAACAAGTGACATTTGATCTTTTTAGAGAGATTTAGAAAAAAAAACCCACCTCTGGTGTCATTTGGGTGGAAATGGGTGTATTTGTCGTTTCTCTGGAATCCATTGGTCAAAAACACACACACACACACACACACACACACACACACACACACACACAGCATAACAATGGACTCCAGTGAACACACTAGAGCACGCACAAAAGCACTAGCATTTTACAAAACATTACACGGATTGTGCACGGCTGCAGCAGCGATAACCATAAAATAATAATTCAAATACCACAAACATGATATTGACCAGTATATAGATTATGCACATGATTTAGCAGATTTAGCGTTTTTGCGCCATGTCAGTTGTGTTGTTGTACGTCACGTTAAAGGTAGCCCACTAAAAACGAACAAAACACTTTTTTTCATATAGTTTTAAATTATCATTTGAATAATAACATATAATATAAAATATAATCTCAGGCACAATGAAATATATCTAAAATAAAAATAAAATAAATGTGCAGACAGGGGAGCTCCGCACCGCCTGCCTGCCGCTAGGGGGTGCGGAGCCCCCCCAGCACCCCCCTTCCCGCGCCCCTGTGCGTTGTAATGCCATTGAACACAATTTTTGATCGGAAAACAGCAAAGGTATGACATATTTGCCGTTTTGGCCCCATGAAGTTGTGTGTCGTCTTTGCTTGCCTTCGCTGCCGTGAGTTTTGGTCGCAGTGATGACACTTATACCATTGGAATCTGTGGAATCTCAGCTTTCCTATGATATCTGTTTGTGCAAATCAGATGAAGTATAAAAGATCGCTACCGAGTTATGTGCTAAGTGTTAGCACTCTTTCTCTTAGTGCTAATTCAGATGATTGGCGTTAGAGTTGTGTTTTGTTTGTGTTTTGTTTCGGTATATCGTCAGTTAGCTGAGTTTCTTCCCGGTAAGTGGGTATGACACATTAAGAGGTTGTTAAATGTTAAGAAGCCCTGAGACACAGTTTTGTGAACATTTCATGAAAAGCCCCCGCCAAGCAGCTTTGGCTTTCAAGAAACTTCAGGAAGGGAAACTTCAACCTTATGGACACCGGCAGAATGGGAAACTCCTTGGCAGTGGACAAACTCCTTGACAGTGGACAAACTCCTTGACAGTGGACAAACTCCTTGGCAGTGGACAAACTCCTTGGCAGTGGACAAACTCCTTGGCAGTGGACAAACTTCTTGGCAGTGGACAAACTCCTTGGCAGTGGACAAACTTCTTGGCAGTGGACAAACTCCTTGGCAGTGGACAAACTCCTTGGCAGTGGACAAACTCCTTGGCAGTGGACAAACTTCTTGGCAGTGGACAAACTCCTTGGCAGTGGACAAACTTCTTGGCAGTGGACAAACTCCTTGGCAGTGGACAAACTCCTTGGCAGTGGACAAACTCCTTGACAGTGGACAAACTTCTTGGCAGTGGACAAACTGCGCGACGGTGCACATGCAACGTACACTCCGATATAAACGTCCTCGGTGCCAAGAACTGTTGGAGGTGCTACGTCCACACCGCTGGTGTGCACGTCGAGTGACTTTGTCCACTTGCAATTCGTCCAAAGGGCATTTCACCCGGAACGACATGGACCCGCCCAATTAAAGGCCTGTTTCGCCCTAAAGACCCCCAAAGCGGCTGGATAGGCCTAACATTGGAGGGGCTTCGCACCTCTGTGGTCAAAAGCACACCACGGCCCCTCCTAGTGCCAACCAATTAAGGCCACTATATATTTTTCTCAATAAATAGTTGTTCCAAAATCACAACAAGTAACCTCCGGTTTGCAGGTGTTTCCGAGTCGCTACGACGCTCCTGGAAGAAGTTGGCTTTGGGGTGGAGCTGGGAGCCTGAAACTCTGGCACTGTGGAAAATAGGTTCAATTTTTGTCAATGCAGCAAAATCCACATAATTTCAAGCTATTTGGCTAACATGGGAGGTTGTCCATTTCAAATACTTTACAATGGGATTACCCTTCCTTTTCGCCACCATTCATTTTTAACTGCAAGTGTACGTGTTCCTGCAGAGCTTCCGAAGCACGCGGAGACCCCAAACCAGTCGAATGTCGACAAATATATTCATATTATTTATTCAGTGCTGCAGACCCTCCGGAACAAAAGTTTCCCAGGGATGCCCTAAAAAACTCAGGGTCCTGAGACTTGACGTCCCCGATAGGCTTCTGAAGTTGGACATTGAGTGGATTTTTTATTTAGCCAAGCGCAAGTCATACCCCAGCGTCATTGTGAGGGTATGACTTGTACACTTCACAGACCTCATTTTGTGCATAAATGTATTTGAGGAGTACAGTACACCTCAAATACACAAGGCACTGCAGTTATGTATTTGAAGTGGACATGTATATCTCCTAAGTGTGTTAATAGGGTCAACAGGTGCGTATGGCCCCCACACTCTGTGGGTGTGGTCCAAAGGCCCCACGTGTCCCTGTACCAAGTATGGAGGCCCTGCAAGACCGCTAAATATTTGACATAGTCCAAGTGTCTCCATTTTCACACCAATAACTGATAGGGTGGCCTACATAGCACAGTCTGAGTATCAGCTCCCTGAGGCATCGTCGAGATATGAACCGGTATATTTCGGTGTTCCTAGACCAGGGGTATTCAACTCAAATTCAACGAGATCCAGTTAAAGAAAATGTCCCCATGCAAAGGTCCGGCACATCAAAATGTCTAACTTGCTTTATGAATTAGTGTGATATATATTGAAGTAGCTTTATCAACGTCTGCATGTAATCAACAACTGACTGCCAATCAAATAAAGAAAGTACAATTCAAAAACAACAATATTAACAGATATACAGTAAATACTGTGGATATCAGTGACGTGCGGTGAGGTTCATGGCTGGTGAGGCACTGACTCTTTCAGAATCAGATTTACAAATATTATATTTTGACCTTAATCGAAATATTCTGTTATTTTCAAAAGCTTTTTTAGTCTGATGCTTCGATTCATTTTAAACAGACCGTTCAACAAAAGGATACCCAACATCTAAATATTGGATTGTTCTTTCTTAGTAAGATCCCATGTTCATTACAATGGTGGTCTTACCTTGACTTGAAGATGAAGTCCATGCTATCCTTCTGGACAACAATCTCTATTACTTTTTTGTAAAAGTCCTCCTTATCTTCCTCTAGTTTCAAAAGTCTAGTTTGTTGTTCGCCTCTACCGTCTCTGCGTAGAATAACAGTAGCAACAAGAACCTGTGGGCTCACGTCAATCAATCAATCAATCAATCAATGTTTATTTATATGCCTGCTTCCACCTGTCTGGTGTCTGTGGTCTGCAGAGGCCTGCTCCCACCTGTGGAGTGCGGCTGTGCGGAGAAGGATTTTTGCCCCGAGGACGTCGCGGAGAGACGGAGTGGCTCCACGCTTCGGGCTGGGGCCTGCTCCCGTCGGGCGTGTGCTGCTGTGCGGAGGAGGATTCGCCACAGCTGGGGCTTGCTTTCCACCTTTCCTGGCTGCGGTGTGGCTGAGGAGGAGGGTTCTTGCCCGGAGAACATCGGAGAATGGCACATGTCATGTTTCTGCTGTGCCTGTTTGCTGTTTTGGACTGTGGGAAGATCTCTTGTAATCCTGAGAGGTCTACTGGACTCAGGTATGTTCTGCTACCCACAGTGGGCATCCCCTGCGGAGGTTCAGATGTGCTGCACAAACAATTGCCGATTGCCTTGTCACAGACAATCTGCTCGACAAAATACGTTTGTCTTTTTTGTTTTCCTGCGATGATGGTTCTTCAGGACTGCTTCTTAAGCTCTAATCACACTCTCGCAGACTTTTCCGGTGTTTCTAAATTAGATGACAATGTATGTGTGTCGCTTAAGAGGAAAAGATGCCTGGTGTTGTTGTTGTTATTACTGTCAGGAAATGTACAACCTAACCCTGGTCCGCCCAGTAGTAGTAGTCAGATCGCTACTCCTGCTGATTTTAAAGCTAGGTCTGGGTTGGGTTTCATCCACTTGTGTTGTGGAAATATTTTCCAAGGCCCATAACTTTGACCCAGTGTATCAGTTCAAACTGTCCTGACTGAGCACAGGCACCTGTAACCTTGGCTGCTGTGCTCTCAGTGTTTTGTCTCCCTGTTCCTGCCTGTTGGCGTCAGCTGATAGAGGTGTTATCATTCTATCTTGTTATGCAGCATGTTGATGATGCTCTCTGAACTAGCTAAATACATGGGTCTGGGGTAGAGTTCTTCAGAATTGACGTGGCAACTCTACCGTGAAGTCAGAACCTCTGACTCTTGGACTTGTGATGTGAATCCTCCGGCCGTTAACTCCAAATAAACCATCATGTGTTTGACATCAAAGCTACTGCTCTTCCCGTGTCTCCTTCCTGAGTCGGTGACTC